CCGCACCCCCAGGGGGATGGGCTGGGGTCTCTAGTGGGTGGGCGGGGGGGGCCTAGGGCTACTAGCACCCATGGGGGTTGGGCAGAGGGGCAGAGCCCCAGGAAGGTGGAGTCAGGTCAGTGCTCGCTGGTTTCTGCAAACTCTGAGTTAGTGGATACTGAGCTGCCCAAGGAAAAACAGCTGGTCCTTGAACAACATGGGGGTGTACGCACCCTCGCCCCAGCCCCGACACAGGTGGAAGTCCGAGCATGATTTTGACACCCCCTAACGTCACAGCATTCATCTTGGTGTCCAAGGGAGGCTGGTTGCTGGGCACCCCTCCACCTGGGATCCCAAACCCTCCGGCGCGCAAGTCCTCTCTTGTCAAGCCCCCGCTGGTGGGCTCACACCCCTGGCTCAGTGAGCTGGCTCCTCAGCGGCGGGTCCACGCATGCGAGATCTGCAGGTGGAAAAACATCTGCCTAGAATTCGACCCCCGCGGTTCAGACCTGAGTTAAGGATCAGCTGGCGAGGGCCAGGCCCCTGGCAGCTCTGCTCGCCCATCCTGGCCTCTTGCCACATGCAGCGTGTCTTGTGGGTGCTCCTGCTTACAGACCTCGAGCAGTGTCCCGCAGCCCAGCACTGGCCTCCAAGCAAAGCTGTTTGGAGCACGCAGCCTTCCCGGGCGTGGGCCGCCACTGTGCTCCAGCACTGTGCTTGGGGTGCGGCGCTCTGGAGACTTCACGGGCCCAGAGCACAGAAATGCAAAGCAAGACCTGTGTAGACCGTGTTTCACCATGTTTACAGGGTGAGGGCCGGAACCAGAGGGCGGAGAGCGCCATGCCCGACGCCGGTCTGTGCCTCAGGGTCTCCCTGCACGCAGGCACAGCAGGTGCTGGTTTTGGGGTCACACATGCATTTTAGCAACCAGATGACTATGCAAAGACATGAGTAACGGGGGCAGCTGTAGCTCCCCCATTGTCAGATCAGCACATTGGCCGGTTATCTGGTGCCACCAGGGGCCTGTGGCCAGGCGCTGACAGGGCCGAGGATTCCTGTGCATTGGAAGTGCCGGTGGCTCCTGGAAGAGCCTGCATCCGCCCCTTTGGGTCCTTGGGAGTGGGTCCCCCAGATGCCCGTTTCCCCTTGCCTGACACTGCGCCCTCCCGCCCTCCCCGAGCAGCCATCAGCTTCCTCATAGAGACCGGCACCCTGCTTCACTTCCCCGACACCAGCCACGGCCTGAGGAACCTCTACTTTCTCGACCCCATCTGGCTGTCCGAGTGTCTGCAGAGGATCTTCAACATCAAGAGCTCCCGGTCAGTGGCCAAGAATGGGGTGATCCGGGCAGAGGACCTCAGGATGCTGCTGGTCGGGACGGGCTTCACACACCAGACGGAGGAGCAGTACTTCCAGTTTCTGGCCAAGTTCGAGATCGCCCTGCCCGTCGCCAACGACAGGTGAGGCCACCACCTGGCCGGCAGGTGCTCCCTGGAGGGTGGGGCGCTGGTGGCTTGAACAAAAGTTCCTGGAAGGGGCGGCAATGACCCACCTCCTGGGCTGGGCAGCAGGGGCACTGGGCGTGGCCAGCGGCTCCCTCTTGGGCCACGGCTTCTCTCTCCAGCGGAGTCAAAGAAAGCCACTGAGCGGCAGGAAAACTACAAGCTGGCACTTACAACGCCGAATGGGTTCACATGTGGGGGCGATGATTGGTTGACTGCTTGGTGAATAAATAGGGCTGTCACTTCTACATTAGGCATGGCTAGTTGGACAGTAAAGTCCACCAGGCTGCTGCCCAGTCCTCGTGGCCATTATAGTGCAGGGACTGAAACGTGCATCCAGAACCCGAGCACGGACCCGCCACCTTCTTTTCTTCATAGTAAAAAGGCAGAGACACTGTTTCCTGTTAGCATGCTGGTCACTGCAAGGACAGTTGGCTCACGCATGCAGCACCCTTCAGGGGCAGGGTACCTCCACGCCACCCGCAGCCTAGCCACGGTCACCCTCAGTGGCTGGGAGTGGCTTCAAGCACACCCCGCTGTGGGTCCCCCAGTGTGTGTGTGCTCATGTCTTTATCATCAGCCCCCACAACCACGGCTTCAGCATCTGCAGCTTCAGTATCTGAGGATTCCATCAGCCCGCAGCCACGGTGGGTTGAACCCGAGAATTTAAAACCCACCCAGAGAAAAACAAAATCTTGGTTTCACATTAGTGACCCCGCGTAGCTCACAGCTGTGTCATTTGAGGGTCAGATGTACTTGGAGGCGCTCAGGTGACTTCAGGAGTTGGGAGGCCCAGGACGGCTCTCCCTGGAGCTGCTTGTGTTTCGGACTCAACCTCACACTCAGGCGCACAGAGCCCAAAGACCAAAATGTTGCTCTGACCCCGGTATCTGCTCGTCCCTGGGGCTGCACAGCTGTGTTTGTTTTTCCTTCACCATCCAAAGTTAACTTGAAGCAATTCCCTGGTCGCAGCACAGTTTACGGACTAATTCGCCATGCCTGACGCGTCCCTGGCCACATTTCATGCCTGGCTCTACACAGAGCCCTGCCGTCCAGGCAGCTTGGCATGGGTGTGTGTCCTCGGCTGCTCAGCCCTCCCTCGGGCAAGCTGTGGCCCCAGAGGTGTGAGCTAGTGAGAGGACCCGGGCCAGAGGTCTCTGAGCCCAACCGCACACCGGGGAGGCTCCTTCAAGAGCTGGTCTCAGGCCAGAGCGGCGCCCCTCCCCACCCCTAGGGGAGCCCCTGGGATCTGGACCCTCCCACAGGCCAGCTCCACTTGCACTGAGCAGCTGCGTGACTTACAGTGGAGACTCGGCGGGGCGCCCTGGGGAGGGGTCAGAGGGGGACCTGCAGTCTGAGCAATCCGGGGGTGGTGGAGGCAGCCCCTGCGGGAGAAAGGAGAGCAGGAAGGCACGAGGCGGAGCCGCGTTAGGGAGTCCCATGCGAGCCAGGTGGGGTGAGATGGTGGCCACGCGGTGCTCAGAAAGGCGCTGCCGCTGGGGAGCTGGAATGGCTGCAGAGGACACCAGGGCCGCCCCGCACAGCCCTGGCCCGTGGGCGGCACTGTGTCTCCTCGGTGCCAGGCCAGGGCCCGCGAGTGCATGGGACTCAGCGCTGGCCTTGGCGCCTGTTGTGAAATTTTCCTCCTGCAGAGTCTGGGGTGTGGGAAGCCTCTTCCAGAAAACGCTGCCGCTCTTACCGGACCTCAACTGACCTGCTGCATTGGGAGGGTGCAGGGCACAGCCTTCTTGAAGGAAAGCTCACCCCCCCCAGGCACTGCCCCAGGGCTCCCCCCGCAAGGCCATCTTCAGGCCAGCTCCCCGGGGACCGCCCACTTTCATCTCCTCTCAGAGGAGGCAGAATGCTGACTCACTGACACGGTGACTCAGCACTTTCATGAGGCCGCCACCCCGCCACCCCCCATCCCAGCTCCTGAGGCCACGCATTGTGACCACCGGCCAGGGACAATAAAGAGCTCCGGAGACCCAAACGTTGCTCCAACCCCAATATCAATATCGTCCCTGGGACTGCAGCTGTGTTGTTTTTCCTTCACCATCCAAAGTTAACTTGGACTCAACCCCCGATCCCAGCACAGTTACGGACTGCGACTTGCTCCATCTGATGTGTTTCAACCACACTTGCATGTCTTAGCATCTTCCTAGTCTCTTAGGGACCTTGATAAGTGTAGTTACCTTGCCCATCTTCATTTGCTCCCCAAGCGTTATTCCCAGCATATAAACTACCAGCTGCCCTCGCTTTCTAAAACGGAAATCCCAACACCCCGGGGGGGACGGCACCCCTGCAGCTCAGCGCCCCTTGCTGTGTTTCAGCTATCTCCTGCCACACCTCCTTCCATCCAAGCCCGGCCTGGACACCCACTGCATGCGGCACCCAACGGCCAACACCATCCAGCGGGTGTTTAAGATGAGCTTTGTTCCTGTTGGCTTCTGGCAAAGATTTATAGCCCGGATGCTGATCAGCTTGGCAGAGATGGACCTCCAGGTAGCTGACATTCTGCCTGGGTTGGGGGGTCGGGGGTGCATGCACAGGAGGTGAGGTTGCCTGTGCCCCGGCGGGAGGGAGAGGCCCAGCACTGAAAGGACCTGCCCTGAGACCCTGTCTCGCCCACTTAGGGCTCGGAGGCCGCGCGGTGAGGCCGCCTTTGCCGCCCTGGCCAGCGGCCTGCTGAAGTTGAACCATGCAGCAGCTTGCTGGCCTAGACGCAATTCCCCCCCTTACAGAGCTGCCTCCACACTGTAGCCTCCGTCCGAGTCCCCCGTAGGACTCCTTAGCACTCGTGTGGCCTGGGCCCACTCGGAGGTTCTGCTAGTGGGTGTGACTGGGACCAGAGAGCCTGCCTCTGACATGTCCCCCGGGCCGGGCCGCGCCTGGAGCGCCTGGGCCCAGAAGCCCTCGCTCCGCTGTGCCGAGACGCCCGGAGCTATCAGACGGTGCAGAACAGGCCCCCTGCCCTCAGCGCGAATCTGGTTGTGGCTCCCAGACATCAGTAGTTTTCCAAGCTCCCAGGTAACTCTGCTGTCCCATTCAGTTTGAGGACCTCTGGGAGGCTGAAGCTCGGTCTGGAAGCTACAAAGCCCTAACCCAAAGGGTTCGTTTCTGGGGGCTCGCCTGGTGTTGTTGAAAGAGTCCCAGCCGGCCATCAGGGTTAACATCAAGTCCGAGGAAGTAGTACTTGTCTGGAGGTGTGATTCTCAAAGTGGGATTCCTGGAAGAGCAAAATCAGCCTCACCTGGGACTTTGATAGAAATGCAAATTCTTGGGAAGCACCCCAGACCCCGTACCTCAGGAACTTTAGGATGAAGCCCACCCAGCACTTTTTCACAAACCTACAAACCTTCCAGACCCAGTCTGCAGGATCATTGCCACATACGCCTTGCCTCTTGAATAATTGGCATGAAACTCGGGTGTGTGTTTATTTTTGCCACATTTTAATTCAAAGGCCCTTATGGCAGTACAACTTACTATCTAAATAAACAGATGCTTTGATCTTCCCTTTTTGCTGAAATGGTAAAAACAAATGCGAGAGCCTGAAAACTGTTGAGTTTCGTGTTAGCAAGGAAAGAGGCTCTTTGTGGGACCAGAATCAGGACGGCCCTGGCCCGGATTCGTCTCGCTGCCCTCCCCTTGAACTCGTCCTTCTGCCACACTCTAAGTGGGAGGTCACAGAGCACCAGGACTGTGTGTGAGGCCCGACTCCCAAGAGGGCTCAGCCCCGGCGGGGTGGGGGCCCAGCTGGACTGGGGTGGGGGGAGTCTTCCTGGCAATATCCTTGCTGAAAATTAGCAAAGAAGTCCTATTGACATGCAGATGGTGAGGGAGGAAGGCAGACACTTCCATCCTGACTCAAGGCCTCGAATTCTACTGTCCACGGATGGAGCTGGGCCGCAACACCTGCCCGAGCCAGATGTTCTCACCCCGACAACAGTCCTTTCAGACACTGATCCCCAAAACGTTCTGACCCTTTGACCCAGTAATCCTATGGCTAAATATCTGAATAAGGAAATCATTTGGTGTCTGAGAAAATCTGTGCTTTTTCAAATTTGACCTTTTTTTGAGGAGTAAAAGGTAGAACCACTTAAACACCCAAAGAAGCCCATAATTAAGAAAATTACTATACTTCATAGAATAACATGCCTCCCCGCTGTTTTAGAAGCGTGTTTGTGGATACCAAAAACCCTGTGATGGGAGATTGCACTCTGCTTGAAGTTAACGCCGGTGTGGGATACTCCGGCTTCCATTTTTCTATATTTTCGGCATTTCCTAACATAAGCACTTGTTTGTAAAATCAGGGCAGGAGGAGATTTTTTTTTTTTTTAAGCTTATTTTCATTCCTTTGGGGGAAATGTGTCCCCAGAGTACCCTAGAGACCCTCTCAGCTCAGTCAGCCTGAATTTGGCAGGGGTGAGGGGCGGGGCGGGGCAGGGGGTGAGAAGGTGGCGGTCATTTATCAAGCAGGGGCCAGCCCGGCCTCCTCAGAGCTCTGCCCAGGCCAGCGAGGAGCCCCGCATACTTAAGCAGGGCCTTTTCTCTGTCTTTCAGCTTTTTGAAAACAAGAAGAACACTAGAAGCAGACACAGAAAAGTCACCATTTACAGTTTTACCGGAAACCAAAGAAATCGCTGCAGCACATTCAGAGTGAAGAGAAACCAGACCATCTACTGGCAGGAAGGGCTCCTGGTCACTTTTGATGGAGGCTACCTGAGGTAGGGACAGTGGGTGCACCTGGCTGGACCCCTGTGCAGCCGAGACCCCAGCCCCTCCCTGGGTGCCCTGAGAGGGGCTCCTCATGGCAGCTTGCCAGAAATAGGAGACCCCCCCAAATGTCCCAGAGGTCCCCCTGCCCTGAGCCCTCCAACTCTCCTTTGCAGAACAGGAAGGGGGAGGTGGTGTGATGACCACAGCCCAAGAGCGAGGGATGTGGTGGTGGCTGAGTTCAGGGATGAGAGCGTCAAGCACTCCCACCCTCCGGGGTCAGAGGGGGCACCTGCAGGCGCCACCAGCACCAGCCCTGCTCAAGAGAGCGAGCGGGCCCCTGGGGGCTCTCGGGCTTCCCAGCAGAACCAACACATCACAGGCCAAGAAGCCTATCTAGCTCCCTTCTTTGTTTTGAAAGAAAGGCATGACTTTTATTTGTTTCATAAACACACAAGATTATTTCATGTTTACAGTGAGTTTTTCCATATCTTCTTCAGCTCTGTGAGAAGAAGGAATCAGAGACTTTCTTCGAGTGCCCGACCTGGGCTGCTCTGGGGGCCTGGCACTGTCGTGTGAGCTGTGTGCTCACTCCTGGCTCATGGCTACCACTTGGTGGATGAGAGCCCTGTGGTCAGGGCAGGACAGAGCCCCCCGGATCTCACCGGAGGCTCAGACCCCAGCCAGGACGCCCCTCTCCTGCACAGTCCTAGAATCCACTTCACCATGCTGGGGGCAGACAGGGGCTGTGCTCACAGGCACGTAAGGGCAGGAGCCTCCCTGGCACAGGGCCTGGGGGCCCTGGGGCCTGAGGCCTTGTCCTGGAGACAGGGACAGACTCCCCGGCCCTCCCGGCCAGCCACAATGAACCCCTTGTTGTTTCTGGGCCACAGTGTGGAATCCTCGGACGTGAACTGGAAAAAGAAAAAAAGTGGAGGAATAAAAATCATTTGCCAGTCAGAAGTGAGGGACTTCTCGGCCATGGCTTTCATCACAGACCATGTCAATTCCTTGATTGATCAGTGGTTTCCCGGTAAGAGAATGGCCCTGAGACAAGCCTAGGCTCCTGTTAATGTTTCTTTACAAGTCAGGGTGCATTTCCTGCTTTGGGGGAACAGAAATCCTATTGGGATTCAGCCCAAGGAATCTGCCACCAGAAAGCAGTCTTGGGCGTGGGTGGGAGCTCGCGGGGGACAACATGAGCTCAGACCCCACAGGGCATATACGGACACCCTGGTTTACCTCCCTCAAGTGGGAGCCTCCCGTGGGCATCATTTATCGTGGAGACGGAACTGCTGGAATCTGGGGCGAGCCCAGCAGACGGCGATTTACCCTGTGTGCCAGGGTGGGGAGGAAGGGGACCTTCTACTGGAAGGATCTCCTCCTGCCAGTCTGTCCCCACCCCTGCATCTCAGAGGGGGTCAACCCCACACACGGCCCTTCTCAGACCCTTTGATCAGTTTCTTCATCCAAAATCCGCCCAAAGAAAACACTTTTGAAGCAAGCCAGCTGAGGTTCTCTGTTTGTTTTGCCACCAGAGTAGGGACAACCCCCCAGGGCATCCTGCGGAGAGGAGGCCACAGCAGGCCCAGACCAGGCAGCCAGGGCAGGAGGCCACCGCGTGAGCCATCAGCCTCTGTAGGCCCAGAAGCCCACTGCCAGGCCCCGGTCCTTCTGGGACGAATGGGAGGGTCACCTGTGGAAACCAACAGAAAGGGGTGTGGGTGTGAGCTATGGCGGCTGGGTGGGGAGTTGGCCACCCCACAGCACCCCACAGGAAACAACCTGTGCCCCCCCCACACCCCCCACCACAGGTATTAGTGGGGAAATTGACTCAAGGCCCTTTAGAGGGTCACTTGAACAGGCAGGACAGGGCGGAAGCCCCGAGGCACAGCTGCCAGGAGAAAGCACCACCAGGCAGCCAGCAGAATGTGCTGCACCCAGGCCTGTGGATAACGGATAACATGCACCCAGAAAGTTCTAGAAGGACATCTCCGATCTGCACAGAACAGGGTCCCCAGGGTGTCTCTGTGGGGCTCCTTGTTGGTGTTCCTGTGCATTTAGGAGCAGAGGCAAGTAAAGCTGTGTCCTGCCTGGTGGGACCCTTGTCAGTTACTGGTTTCCCAAGCCTGTTTCAACGTGCACTCATTTCCCCCCTGCGCTGCCCTCAGGAAGGATCACACTAGTTGCCAGCCTTCTGATTCTAATTTTAAGAACGGTTCCTGGCTGGCATGGTTCAGTCATTGGGAATACGGCATTGCAGCCTGGCCCAGCAGTGCAGGGGGATCCCCAACCTCCAGGATCCTCCTCCACCGGCCAGCTCAACATCCAGACCACCTGTCGGCTGTCCAAAAGGACCCCTGAGTGTGGCCGTCATGTCTGCCTCTCCCTGCAGTCCAGGCGAGGCAGGCAGACCCCGCCTGGGACCGATCCAGCCAGCCTGGGGTGCAGGGCCCCCCGGGGTAGCTCAGAGGCCTATCAACAGCTGCCTGCCCGCCAGCCATCTCCTGCTCTGCCCTCACACAGCCCTGACGGCCACAGAGAGCGACGGGACGCCCCTCATGGAGCAGTACGTGCCCTGCCCGGTCTGCGCGACCTCCTGGGCGCAGCTGGCCGACCCGAGCGAGAAGTCCGAGCGGGTGCAGTACTTCGACATGGAGGACTGTGTGCTCACGGCCATCGAGCGGGACTTCATCTCCTGCCCCAGACACCCCGACCTCCCCGTGCCACTGCGGGAGCTGGTGCCCGAGCTGTTCATGACAGACTTCCCCGCCAGGTACGTCATTCGAGGGGTGCCCCCAGGGGGCCAGGCTTTCTGGTTTTGAGGTCACAACTTGCCCAGCCAGTCTGAGCATGGGGGAGGGAGGGGTGGAGCCAGTCTGGGACCCACATTTCTCCCTCTCCCATTAACTGGCAGCTCCTTTCCACTGCTCCACACTCAGAAACAGGGACCCCGCACCCTCAGACCCACTCTCCCTTCTTTGGCAAATGTCAACTCCTAACTGCTGTCCTCAGGCTGAACATTTGGGTCCCCCGAAGCTACTTTGAGAGTTGATTCTTCCTCTGCTAATCGAAGATAATAACTGGGAAGAGAATCGGGGAGAAAATAGAAAGCATTTTGTGGTCCTATCCAACAGGAAACCAGCACTAAAGCCAAGTGTTTGGGGAAAGATGGGCTCTTCTGTCGTCATGGAGACCAGAGGCCATGGTGACTGGGTCTCTGTGCAGACAACCAGGTCACGTTGGTAGTTACCAGCTCTTTCAGAGTTGTGAGACCCTGTTGTTTCTTACCCAAACGAGTACTATATCTGATTTCCTTAAAAACAGGTAAACTTTGAGGGGAGCGAGGGGGGTCAACCATATTTGTATTCTGTTTTCCAAATTGCTCTCCCATCCCAAGAAAACAGAATGTGTATTACTCTATTTTATTGCAGAATCGAGGTTCCAAAGCATGAAGCTGCTAGATTAAGCAGTTGCTTCCTCCACCCCATCATGTCCCCCCTATAGTTCTGTTCACTATCCCCTGTTACCTCAATGACTATTAAACCTGCTTTTCTGCTAATTAAGCTTTATCCCTAGATCTTTAGCGTTGAGTTATTAGGATCCCATCTCAGAGACCACATACAGAGTTTTGTACAACGAATCCAACTGGGGAGAGGGAAAAGTCCCTATTAAGCAGCCCCAGATTTTATAATTTTCATCTATTTGCTGAACCTCACATATCATTGGTGCCCAGCTAGCTCGGGGCTCTTCATCTGCTGTCTAGAACACAGAAGGCTGGCCTGGGGGCCCTCCTGGAGCCAACCACAGGCATAGCATGGCTCCTAACAGAAAATTCTCGGTCAGGCGCTAAGAAGCCATCAATCTGAAAGGCCTCACAGCCCAGCAGAGGCTCTCTGGAAACTGGCCATGGTCTGCCCATGGCTTTGAAGCCCAACCCCCCACCACCCCCGCAGGAGGTTGTCGGGTGGGAGCAGGGGGCGTGGCACCCACGGTGGTATCTACACAGGTGGGCACTTCCAGAGTTGGCAGGAATCCTAAGCCAAGCTCCGGGAGGAGCCCACTTCACAGAGGCGCCCAGGGCCAGCTGGCTGCATCGCCTGCCCAGGTCGGGGCTTTCTCTCGGGTCCATCTGTCCCAGTGGGCAGTTTTGATCCGTGATTCTCTGCAGTTGGAACAACTGACCGCCCAGGCCCCCACCTACCCGCAGCGCAGAACCAGGGCTGTTCTGAGCCCTCAGTGTCCCCACAGGCTCTTCCTGGAGAACAGCAAGCTGGAGCACAGTGAGGACGAGGGCAGTGTCCTGGGCCAGGGCGGGAGCGGCACTGTCATCTACCAGGCGCGGTACCAAGGCCAGCCCGTGGCCGTGAAGCGGTTCCAGATCAAGAAATTCAAGAACTTCGCTAATGTCCCAGCAGGTAAAGAGGGCCCTGTCTCGGCTCTGCAGAAAGGTGCTCCCACAGTTCAAACTTGGGGCCACGTGAAGGAGGCCCAAGGCCTCCCTCCCAGGAGCAGGGCCAGGCCAGTGTGGGCCCAGGGGCTGTCCTGCTCTGGGCTTGGCTGGGGGGACAGGGACTGGCTGGCAGTCAGGCCGAGAGAGGCCTGGAAAGTGCCTTTGCAGGTGACAGTCTCTGAGGACACTAAGGCAGGGCGGGGAGCACTGCACTGAATCTCAGGCGGACCCCTCAGTCATCTCCTCTAAAGGAAGAAAGATGGCTTGGGGGGTCACCCTGGGTGCCGCTCCCTCCTTCCCACCCCATAGAGGGGGGAAGGCCCTCTTGGTCCATTCCAGCCCACATGTTCAGAGGCCCCAGCACCCCTTAAGGCCCAGCCCGTGGGGGTACAGGGAACCCCCATTTTCAGGCAGCTTCACAGCCCCTTTATGGCATCCCCTAGCTTAGCGTGGCCATATTTTTCCCCCAAAGATTTATTTGTGCATACAAGAACGGAGTGGAGACGGGATTCACCAGAGACAGAGTGGGGAGCAGAACAGGAGGATTAACTTAAATACACTGCTGAGGGGGGCAGCAGGTGGATCAGGAGAGGTCTGCCGCGCCCTGTGGGTCAGCTCCCTGGCTGGGGGGTTGATCTCCTGGTTGCAGACAGCTTCATAGTGCTGCGCTTTAACACGTTGCACCACCAGCATGGTCATCTTGATGATTGTAAAGTTACTTTCTTTATACTCAGTGGAAAATTAGAGTCATAGAACACTATTAAAAAAAAAAAACAGGAAAGGAGATCATTTTAATGTGAAAAGGATGCAACTTTCTGCAGAAATCCAAGCGACTGTTGACAAACACCAGAGCCAGTGAGTATCATAACGTTGCTCTGCAAACACGAGCTCTCCCTTGGAGCTCAGCAGACCCCCACCTACGGTGGAGACGCGTTAGAAAATGTCCCCCCAGGCAGCAAATGAGGAGCCGCTAGCACACATCAGTGCATCCACTTCTGATCAAAGTCCCCACAGCAGAGGGAGACAGATCTGGAAGACTTTCCCAAATTTCACGAGAAATGACCTAATCCCTGAGCAGCTGGGAAATTTCTGCAGTGGAAGACAAAGAAAGAGTCCTGCCCAGCACATGTCCTGACTTACAAGCCTGCAGGCAGGAGAGCAGCCTTCCGGGGCCGGGGCCAGCCTTCCTGGGAACGGGATAGCCCGCTCGGGGCGGGGCGCTGGCTGGGACTGCGCTGCCTTCCAGTCAGGGAAGGCTGACATCATTCAATTCTTCATGGGCTGGAGGCTCAACACGAACAACAAAATTTGCACATGTAAAAACCAATTTGGCCACACGTACATGGCTCTGGTACAGCTGGTGCATCTCAGTTGCCAAGAGTTCTTTCATGTCGCTTGAACCCTTGTGCCCAGCCATCCCTGGTTTTAAAATCAGATTGTAGGGGAGGGACAGATCAGGACACAGGAGGACAAGCATGGCCTTGTGGACCTGGACCCCGCTGGCGGACCTCAGGACTACCCACTGCCCAGTGCGTGGCGTCCTGCCCCTCCATTTGCCGAGGCCCCTGGGGAGAACAGGTGCCTGCCCGCAGGCTCGCATTTTGAGGGCACTGGCAAAGTTTCTGGCGCAGACCAGTAGCTGCCCACCGCTGCCTGCAGGCCTGTCTGGTGTGGCCTGAGATGACATGTCACAGACCCACAGTTTTCTCTGCCGCTGGTGGCCCCGCCCACTCGGTAGGGGAGTAAGGTGATTCCCTTACGGTGAAGAATCAAGGCCCAGCTCTCCGACCTGTGCCCTGCACGCCTAGCCAGACTCTGAGGATACAGGAGGGAGACCCTTCTGCGACCCACGGGGGGACGAGGGCTGCTAGAGTGACCGGTGGGTGATGAGGCCAGGGACATGACAGCGTCAGGGGTGAGGCTGGCACCTCAGAGGAAGGAGCTTGACGGCAGCCTGCAGTGCCACCATTCGGAATGCCACCAGATTCTGGGTGGCATACTGCAATCCCTGACATTGCGTTGCGTTCAGATACATGAGATGTAAACCCCGGCCTGACCCTGGAGCAGCTCTGAGTTGGCCGGTACCCCCACCCCCGTGGTCCTGGACAGGCCCCAAGGCCAGCGGTGAGGGGCAGCCTGCCCCTGGCTGGTGCTGACTGGTGCTGACAGCTGTCCTGCCCCCCCCCCAGACACCATGCTGAGGCACCTGCGGGCCACAGATGCCATGAAGAACTTCTCGGAGTTCCGGCAGGAGGCCAGCATGCTGCACGCCCTGCAGCATCCCTGCATCGTGTCCCTCATCGGCATCAGCATCCACCCGCTCTGCTTCGCCCTGGAGCTGGCCCCGCTGGGCAGCCTCAACACCGTGCTGTCCGAGAACGCCAAAGGTACGGTGAGCCGGAACGTTCCACAGAGCACTGCCTCGGGCCCAGCTCATGGACACCCTGGCCTGAGACTGCCCCTCTGGAGAGCCTGGGGCTCCCAGGGCAGGTCCGGGGAGCTGGGAGCAGGGGCACCCTCCTGCAGGGCCCGGCTGTCTTGGCCAGGGCACACGGCCGACTCCCTGCGGGTGAAGGAGCCTCTCCAGGTCCCAGCACGGTGGGTGGCGTTGACGAGGCTGCAGGGCTCCGGACCTGGGGCCAGATGGGCGCAGTGTCCAAGTCCTGCTGCCCTGCCATGGCCGGGGAAGTTGCTTCACTGACTCCAGCCCAGCAGCCGTAAGCCCCCAGTGCGTAAATCTCTCCTCTAGCCGAAACCTGCACCATGTCCATCACTGGTGAACTCTGAGACCCCAGGTCAGTAGGATCATGTCTTAATTTTTTATCCAAATTTTGATTCCAATGGGAATTTTAATTGTACTGAATTATATAGAGATAATTGGTAACACATGCACACACATGCATATTTCAACTGTCTTTTTTTTTTGTTATTATTATAATACTTAATTTTTACATCATTTTGTGCCTTTCTCCATCTCAGTTGTAATCCCCGTGGGCTTCCCATCACCAAATCACCCATGTGCCATCACAATAGTCCAGTGCACTCCCCCCAATCCCCATTTTTGATCCCATTCCCCCTCCACCCTCGGTAAAATGTCTCTGGTATAGTTGTTCATTGTTATTATTTTTTCCCCTGTCCTTTATGCTCCTGCTATGACTGAAGCCAACTGGTATTTTTCTTCTTCTTTCTGGCTTATTTCACTAAGCAGAATCATGTCTTATTTTTTAACAAAATCTGAAAATAATTTACCTTGAGAAATGGGAAAATTCCAAAGAGCTGACAGAGAGGTATCTGTCTTCTGAGTCGGGAAGAAGCAGGGCTACTAAAACCAGTTCTTTCTCCCCCAACGAAAGCAAAACAAATTGTCGTGCAGATTTATTTTTTCATGTCTGCACTCACCTTTGAGAGGTGTGGTCCGAGATGAACTCTAGGAAATTTGAATCCGTGACCTTTTCGTGAAGACACCAGCCATTCTGGCCATAGGCTTGGCCTACTGAAGGCATTTCGGTCCCTCTGGCATCCAGCACAGAGAAGGTGGTGGTGGCAGGAGAATGCCAAGTATGGAGGAGATAGAAGGGAGACAGGAGACAGTGGTCATGTTGGTGGGTTTGTTCTTTTTTAAAGGTTTTTATTTATTCATGCATACAGAACTAGGGTACAAGCCAGAGGTGCAGGGGCAGTGAGAGGATTCACCAGAGACAGAGTGGGGGGCAGAACAGGCAGACTGTCGAAGTACACTGCTGAGGGGGGCAGGGGGCGGGTCAGCAGAGGTCTGCCGCGCCATGTGGTCACCTCCATGTAGGGCCGGGGATCGAACTCGCATGGAGGCGGCTGCGGCCAGCTTGCAGTGCTGCGTCCTAACCCGTTGCACCACCGGGGAGGGCCCTGATGGTTTTTATTTTTCTTCTTTGCAAAGACTCTACCTTCATGCCCCTGGGACACATGCTCACCCAAAAAATAGCCTACCAGATCGCCTCGGGGCTGGCCTACCTGCACAAAAAGAACATCATCTTCTGTGACCTGAAGTCGGACAACATCCTGGTCTGGTCCCTCGATGTCAAGGAGCTCATCAACATCAAGCTGTCGGACTACGGGATCTCAAGGCAGTCCTTTCACGAGGGTGCCCTGGGTGTGGAGGGAACGCCCGGCTACCAGGCCCCAGAGATCCGGCCTCGCATCGTGTACGATGAAAAGGTACCTGTTCCGGGCCGCTGCCGGCCCGGCCCGCCTTTCCTCACGGGGCAGGAGCTGTCCCCGAGGCCAGTCAGGCCGTGGCGAAGGCACCTGCAGTTTCTGGGCTTCTCGTACCCGCCCCCCAATTCCCTCTCTCCTCGTGCTCACCCACACAACAGTCGCCTCGCCCCAGGCTCGTGCTGCACCTGGGGCCCAGCCAGCCTGTGTGAATCACCTGGCATTGAAACTTCTCCCCCCGTGTATATTTCTCCTAATTTGATTTGTGAATGGATCATTGACTAACTGCCGTCAGCACTCACCTGTTGCTTATTAGCCATAAAGGAAAAGGCAAGAAAACAAACGCTTCTCAGTAGCAGGTGTGGTAAACAAGGCGCCCAGAAACTAAGGTCATAATAGGAACCTTCACCTTGAAATTCTCAGCTGTATCTCACATTCTTCTGGTAAAATGTCACATCTCGACCTTCTGAAAACCTATATAACGCTCTCCTTTTCGGGCCTTTGTATGATGTTAAAATTAGAGGAATCAGCATATTGTGATCTTGGAGACATACCCCTCTTTGTGATTGACATCCACTGCTCTTCTGTCACCAAGCACATAGGCTGAATGTCATGTTTCCTGCCTTGTTTGACACTCGTACTCAAGAGTAAGGACCATGGCGTCCTTGGAGTCCTTTGCCAGTGCCTGACAATTACCCAGTTCCCGGTGTTTAGGGTGCATGGATGCTGGGTGGGTGGGTGGGTGGAGAGGGAAGGATAGCCAGATGGAAGGGCAAGTGGTCAGCAGGACGAGCCGTCAAGAGGATGGGCGCCCGGCTGGTTGGGTGGAGAGTGAATAGATAAAGGTGCTGGAGGAAGGGGGGGGCGGTCAATGGGTGATGGACGGATGCGTAGGTGGTGGACGGAAGTGGGGATAGGATGGGTAAGCGAGCAGAAGGGTGAGAGGGCAGAGGACAGATGACTAGTCGGATGTTGGGACAGACGACGATGGAATGGAGCGTGAGCTGGCAACCGCCTCCATGTTTTCCATGTCTCATTTTGTGTCCCTGTCCCTGCCCCTCCAGGCCAGTTGTGAAAGCTGCTGGGCCCAGGCAGGGGACCTGACCTGACTTGCCTCTCCACCAGGTAGACATGTTCTCCTACGGCATGGTGCTGTACGAGCTGCTGTCAGGACAGCGGCCTGCGCTGGGCCATCACCAGCTTCAGATCGCCAAGAAGCTGTCCAAGGGCATCCGCCCGGCTCTGGGGCAGCCGGAAGAAGTGCAGTTCCATCGACTGCAGGCGCTCATGATGGACTGCTGGGACACCAAGCCAGAGAAGGTAGCAGGGCCCACGGCGGGGCTGGCACGCCTCCCGCTGGGCAGAGGCTGGGCATACGGCATGGCCGCCAGCACCCCTCGCCAGCACCCCTCGCCTCAGGCGGGGCAGCCCTCCTCTGCTCTCCTCTTCCGGAGAGACAGTTACTGCCGCTACGCAGCCACCTCGTTGTCTTTGAGTACAGGGCGCTTTGTACAAAGATCACTCAGGAAAATTGAGCTGCACCGTCCTCCCCGCCTGTGGTGTCACGTGATCGTGCAAACAGTGCTCAGACCCTTTGCAGCAATGCAGCCCCATGCCAGCACAGAGGGCATGTTGCCACCTGTTTCAGTCACAGGGAACAGATATGCGCATGAGCGTCAAACTGTCTTTTTACCTATTTTTTCTTGAAGTTATCTCCTGCCAATGTTCTTTAAAGATTTATTTATGTATGCACACAAGGACTGGGGTACAGGCCAGCGGTGTGGGGGTGTGAAAGGATTCACCAGAGACAGAGCGGGGAGCAGAACCGACGGACTGACAAAGTGCGCCCCTGAGGGGAGCAGCGGGACCCTTAAACAGAGGTGGCAACATCCGCTCTGCGCTGGCGTGGGGGTTGCGTTGCTGCAAGGGTCTGTGTGCTTTGTCTGTTTGTACGGTCATGTAGCGTCTGCAGAGGTCCACTGCGCCGTGTGGGTCACCTCCCGGCTGGGGATCGAACTCGTGCTGCAGTGGCTGCAGACGGCTTCCTAGTGCTGCGCTCTGGCCGGTTGTGCCACCTGTCATTTTAAAGCTGGTTGTTTTTGGAAGAGGCTGGTGCTTTCAAGGTTAAAACCCACTTCCCAGGCCCTCCCTGGTGGAGCAGCGGGTTAAAGCGCAGCACTGAGAAACTAAAGCCACTTACGCAAGAGTTCGATCCCCGCCTGCCCCGGAGGTGACCACATGGCGTGGCAGACCTCTCCTGACCCGCCCGCTGCTCCCCTCAGCAGTGTACTTCGTCGATCTGCCTGTTCTGCTTCCCGCTCTGTCTCTGGTGAATCCTCTCACCCTCCGCATCTCTGGCCTGTACCCCAGTTCTGTATGAATAAATAAATAAATCTTTAAAAAAAAAAAAAAACCCACTTCCCAGCTAGACAGTGCTCATTGATATACTGGGGGTTGGTTTCTTGGGCAGTGTGGGCATCAGTCTGGGTGCAGACGACCCTGGCTCACGGCCGCGGTGCCTCTCTCCCTCAGCGACCGCTGGCCCTGTCCGTGGTGAGCCAGATGAAGGACCCCACCTTCGCGACCTTCATGTACCAGCTGCCCTGCGGGAAGCAGACGACCTTCTTCTCCTCCCAGGGCCAGGAGTACATGGTGGTGTTCTGGGACGGGAAGGAGGAGTCCAGGTAGGAGCCCCACTTCCCGTGCTCAGCTGGTGTTGGGGTTGGGGGGCAGTCAGTGAGGCCCACGTGTGTGCCCACTGGGAAAGAAGGTCTGGCGGAGCCCACTCGAGAGAGAAAACCGCACCCGGGCCTACAGATGTGCCCGTGAGGGGCGGTGGTGAGAGCGGCCAGGGCAGGGGGCGGGCGGTGACACGGGCGCCGTCTGCCCTTGATGCCCAGGGGCATCTGCCAGGGCAGGGGGCGGGCGGTGACACGGGCGCTGTCTGCCCTTGAATGCTCAGGGGCATCTGCCAGGGCAGGGGGCGGGCGGTGACTCGGGCACTGTCTGCCCTTGATGCTCAGGGGCATCTGCCAGGGCAGG